CCCCAAAACCCCAAAACCCCAAAACCCCACTGTGCCAATGTAGAAGTTATTGATATACCAAAATTTGATACCTTAATTGAAATTAAATATAATCTTTGGCCATTAGGAAGTAAAAGCAATTTATTGAATCAAAAGTTTACAAAATTTCCCGATTTTCCACCTGTCTTTTTGAGTAGTTTTAGGTTTTAAATTTCTATGCTCTTATCAATGCCCTTACACATATCGTATATAGTTAAAGCTGCTATACTAGCTCCTACCATAGCTTCCATCTCACATCCTGTTTTATCTGTGACTTATACCATACACTATATAATCATAAAGATTAGCTTATGAATGTTTAAAAATGTACCTTAATCCCTACTTAAAATTACTTATCGTTGAAATCAAAGCTGAATCTGACATAATCAAGTGAAATTTGATGGCACAAGGGAATCTAAAATAGCAGTCAATTCATTATTTTCCTTACTGAGACTTACTAAATCTTAAGTTCTCTTCGCACCCATTATGCCTGCAATCTCAGCCATCGTTAAAGCATCACCTTTGCTAAGTTATTTGTCTTTAAGTTTATTATAGGCTTCTTGATTCATTTACATTATACACTGAGTCTCAGCTGTCCTAATAGTTGGGTTTTTCTTACTTACATCAACCATTTAAGATTCTAAAATTCTCTAATCATTACTAAATGATGCTTATCTGTTCTAAATTAATGATTTTGTTGCTTGCATATATCTATTTCTCTGATTAGTTATAGTTTTGAATAGACTAAGCGTGTTTAAAGTTTATTTTAGAAACATTTCAGTATTAAATTTATAATTTTGTATTAATTTATAATAAGAAAATAGGATAGTAATGTCGCAAGACGAAGCAGTTAAATGTATGTCAGTGGCTGAAGAAGCTATGAAAAATCAGGATTGGGACAAAGTAATCAATTCCAAAATGCATAAATTATATCTCTCTATAGGCTTTGAGATTCTTAGATAAAAGCATGCGATTTAAAGAGACTTAAAAAGCAATTTATCTCAAAAGTGAAGTCATGAAAAAAATGAAGGGAGAAGGGCCAGATGCTAACAATAATGAATAATCTGCCGATCCAGCTGATGATACTCAGTCTAATGGTACAGCCTCTACAAGTAAAACCTCTCAGAAGAAATAACCAACACCTAAAAAAGAAGAGAGGGTATGCTAATTTTCAATCTAATCTTAATTCTGTAGAAGAAGGAAGAGACCTAGCCATAGGAGCCACCTAATTACTCAAAAGAAGATGTATGTAAATTAGCAATATATGTTATTTATAATAGGTTGAAAAATGCAAGGAAATACTATCAAAGTCAAACTACTATGAGATATTAGGGATTACTAAAACAGCTGAGGAAAATGAGATAAAGAAAGCGTATAAGAAGCTAGCTTTGAGGTTTCATCCTGATAAGAATAGAGCACCACAAGCAACTGATGCATTCAAAAAGGTTAGCTCAGCCTTTGCTTGCATTAATGATCCCGAAAAGAGGAAACTCTATGATGAACATGGATCAGAAGAAAACTTCCAGTAAAGATATAGATAGCAGTACTAAGAGGAGTTTGACCCTGAAGATCTTTTCTAAATGTTCTTTGGTGGCCATGTGTACACTGGTGGCTTTGGACCTCGTGGGCATACTGTTTATAGGAGATAGTAGAGAAGAGGTGATTAAGGTGAATAGCAATAGAGAAATCCATAGCCAGCTGGTGTCTAATTTTTCCAGCAGTTTGCTCCTATGCTATTGCTATTGATTTTGACTCTATTATCTAACATCGAATCTTTCACAACTGGCCATTTGCACAATTACTCTTATCGCCAGACTATGGAATTCAAAATTTAAATATAATCATACAGATTGAATGAACCCTACTGGATTTCTGAGGCAACTTACAATATAATAAAGGATGATCGTGATTAGAAATTAAAAGTATGTTTGTTTTTTCTTATAATCTATTCTAGCTTGATCAACGATTTGAAAGTGAATTGATTAGACATCATGATTTTCAATGTGATGAAGCAACTAGGACTAAAAAGCAATACCAGAATGCAGCAAGAAGATATAGAAGTTATCCAGACCAATATGAATATTATAATTAGGTAAATATACATAAGGTGATTTTATATATTCTTTTAGAGAGCCGAGAATGTTGATATTAGCTCATGTGACATAACAAGAGAGTTTAGGGTAATTCAAAATATTTATTTATTCT